CTTTTAATTTCTGCCGATGTTAAGGCATTAGAGGTCTGCAAATAGTCTTCTTCATCATCAAGATATTCAACTCTGTATTTTACTTCATCCATACTAGAGGACAAGGTATGGGCTAGACCCATTTTGTCGTTCAATTCCTGAATATGGATATTTCTCAAGTCCACACCAATAAGAGTCTCTAACACACTGTGATGAACTAAAGGCCCAATCCATGTTAACACTAAGGCCACGTGGCTTATTAAAAGAAATAAAAGAATCATTCTGCACTCTTTCTGCTAGGCTGGACCACACCTTCCCATGTTGACTTTCATTACTCTTGGAGTCTGAAAAATTTTGACGACACCACCTCCAACCATCTCTACTATTCTCGGAGCATGAGTAATTAGCATTTTATCATCAATGCATTTATTGGATGTAGCTTCCCCATGCAACTCTCCTTCCCTATGCACGTCCTACACTCCCCTTCCTTTTCGAAAGTGAAAGAAAACAAATTGGGGCCTATATTATCTAGGTTTAGTTTACCTTCTACCTTCTGAGCTGTCATCAAGTTTTCTTTAACTGTTGTATATCCAACTTTCACGGAGGAGATAACTCTGCCAACAAGAACATTCCTTTCTACACTGTCAAAATCTTCATTCTTTCACTGAAAGTCAATCTTCTCCAAGCCATCCTCCATCCTTCCCCAAATATCGCTCCCTCGCTCCAAAATTAAGATGAGAGAGAAGAAAACCAGCCTCAAAGCTGTACACACCATGCAGGTGATGGAATGTTTAGCCTCAAGGAGAAGAGGACACGCTCTCAGTTAGAGAGAGAAAAAGACAGAAGGCCTTATGTTTGGTCACTACTACAAAAAATGCTAACTGTAGTGCTTTTTTTTAAAATTTTTGTAGCATTTTTGAAACGCTACGTTAACACCTGCTACGAAAGGGTGTGGATATAAGCGCTACAGAAGTCCAAGGCACTACTGTAGCCCTTAATAGAGGAAGCTACAGGAGTTTTGTTATCTTCTGTAGCGCTTCCTAACAAAGCACTACAGAAAGTTCTACTTACTGTAGCACTTGCTCAAGAAAGCGCTACAAAAATGTTTTTCCTAAAAAAATTAATTAGTATTATATAGCGTTTCCAAAACCACATATACAAAATTTAACATTTCTCAACTGCCAGCAAAATTCAGAGATCAAATATATACAATAAAATTCTCAAAACATTACCACTATATATGTTGACAACAGTTGTAAACAAAATGAATATAATTCTAATTCTACAACTAAAGCCAAATCATAAAAGAGAAGCAACTACCTACTTTATATAAAGAATTATTCGAACACATATCTACACCACTCTTCAATAACTTCATTTACTTGGTTGTCAGTGTAGTTTGTGCAATGTGCATCTTCATAATACTGCTCAATAATTTAGATAGCCAATTAAAATCACTAAAAATTAAGTATTAGACAATAATTAAAGTTAATAAACAATATAAAGTGACAATAAAACTACCTACATTCTCAGGAATAAAAATTTAATCATGAGTAATAATTTCCTTCGTGAATCTCATAATATAACAACAACAATCATTATTATTATTAGGTTAGAAAGGGCACTGCAACAATATCGACAAATAATTAAATCAATTTACGAATGCAAATAATTTATTTTCAAAACTTAAAAATTGAAATAAATACCTAAATTTTCTTCCACACGTAGCTTTTTGAGATGTCAGCAGCTTTAGAATAACTCAATCTAGCAGAACTTCGATAGCCAATCAACGCACTAATAAAATGAAGTTGAGATTAAATTGGTTATTCAGTTATACAAATATACACATGCACATAAGCATGGACAGACACTTACTTATCGAACAACCACATCATATTAGGACAGTCTCTTGGTTGACCATATTCTAAAGGATCCAAATAGTAAATAAGGGGACCCAAAGGTGCCGTTGGATTGATCACGATCAATATCCAATGTTGCCTAAAAATTTTTAAAAATTGTTTAATTAAATCAAAAGTAACAAAATGACTAACAAATATCATAACTCACAAGAGCACAACCAATGACTTGCCCCACATTGAGCGGTGCTAGAAACAACGGGTTGCTTTTGCTGAGAAATACTCTTTAACCATGTTAGATTGAAAATCAATGTCCTTTTTTCTAGCATATTGGCCTATCATATAGGGATTGATAAATGAAAATTGTACTAATCTCTTAATGTCTATCAATACGTCATGGTACAAGTGCCTTTATGTAAAAACAAATAATTAGATTAAAACTAATAACATTAAATGATAAATAATAAGAATGATGAAATAGCTAATCCATATGTTAATAGTCGTAGCACCGACCCATCTACGATGAAGTATGTCATTAATTTTCCAACATATTTCAAGTTTTTACCAAGAAACAATTTTACAAAATTTAACCAACTAAAATAAAAAATATTAAGCAAATTCACATATTTATCACTAACAAACTTAAATTTGTTAGCTTTTAAATAATTTAGCTAAAAAAAAACTTACAATGTATTGTAGACTGACTTGAATTATATCAAGAGTCTTGCAAAAAAAAATGTTAAATGAAAGTGGTGAGGGGGAAGAGGGGTATGATAAGGGCAAAAGGAATAGGAATGGAGATGGATTGGGAAAGTACGTACAGGAAAAAGGTGGGGATCATGGGTGTGGGTAGGGACCGTGGGTAGGAGGTGGGATAGGAAGGGGGTGGGGACCATGGGTGGTGGTTGGGATAAGCAAGGGGTAGGGGTGGTGACTATGGTGGGGACGAACGGTGGAGGTGGCAATAGAGAAGGAAAAGGGAAGTAGGGGGCTTAGGAAAACATGTAGTGGTGGGGACGCGTGGGGAAAGGGGTACGACAGGAAGTTGTGGGGAAGGGGGGAGCTAAAAATGGCGTCTTGAAGCTGAAGGACGAAGATCGAGCTGTGGGTTAGAGTGAAGTGGAGCTGTGGGTTTAGAAAAAGACAGAGAGAGTGAGCTGGAGCTATGGGGTATGACGCGGGAGTGGAGGGGAGCTGTGGGTTAGAAAAAGAGAGGGAAAATAGGAAAAAAAAATAGAGGGAGGTGGCACCCGAAGGGAAGGTTTATGGGAACTGCTGTAGCGTTTTGTGTGCAAAACGCTACAGCATCTAATCTTTTGTAGCGTTTTGTGGGCAAAACACTACAACAGGAAATTTTTTTTTTTAAAAATGCGAACCTGCATTGTCTATAGCATTTTAATTTAAAACGCTACAAAAGATATTTTTTAATTTTTTAAAAAAACATAACAAGGGAAAATGAAAAAAAAACAAGGATGAAAATCTCATTAGTAGGGGATTCTTATAATTAAAAAAATGCTTTAAGCTTTTTTTTTTCAAAATTAAATAGGGAAAATGAAAAAAAAAAAAAAGAAGGGAAATGTTGTAATCAAAATGCTACAGTAGGTGATTTATATAATTTTTTTAAAAAAATGCGTTAACTTTTTTTTTAACTTATCAATGGAAAATGAAAAAAAATAGAGGGAAATGTGTCATTAGCAGGGGATTTTTATAATTTTACAAAAAAATTGCTTTTAGCTTTCTTCTTTAAATTGTGAAAATGAAAAAAAAAAGGAGAGAAATATCATTAGCAGAGGATTTTTATAATTTTTTAAAAATAACATTTAGCATTTTTTTAACCTAAATTAAAAATAAAAAAGGGCTTTTTGTAGCCTTTTAATTTAAAACGCTACACGAGGTTTTTCATTATTTTTAAAAAAAAAACCTTATAGTTTCCCTTTTTTTAAAAATTTTAGAAAAAATACTTTTAGTTTTTTTTTCCAAAATCTTATCAATGGAAAATGGAAAAAAATGGACAGAAATATGTCATTAGCTTTTTCTTTAAATTTAAATTGGAAAAATAAAAAAGGGGAGAATGCCGTAAACAAATGCTAGAGCAAGGGATTTTATTAATTTTTAAAAAAATAATTTTATTTTTTCAACTTAAATTATGAAAATGAAAAAAAAAAGAGAGGAAAATATCATTAGCAAAGGATTTTTATAATTTTTAAAAATAATGCATTTAGTTTTTATTTTAACTTAAATAGAAAAATAAAAAAGAAGGACTTCTGTAGCGTTTTCATTATAAAACGCTACAACAGGTTTTTCATAATTTTTTTAAAAAAATTCCTTATCTTTTTTCTTTTTTAAAAAAAATTGAAGGCCTTCTGCGGCGCTTTCTTAAAAGTTTCATGAATTAATTTTTTTTTCAAAAGAAAATAATCTTCTAAAAAAAGCGTTACAGAAAGTCCTGTACCTCCTCACGCTTTTTAAAGAAAACGCTGTAGAAGATTTTTTAATTTTTTAAAAAGATAAATGGACTACTGTAGCGTTTTTTTGAAAGAGTGCTACAACAAGTATTATACATGCTGTAACACTTACAGAATATATCTTTTTTTTTAATAAATTATTAAGTACGAGCTATAGCGTTTTTTTTTTAAATGCTACAAAACAGGCGCTACAAATCAAGTATTTTGTAGTAGTGGGTTGTGATTGAAATTACTACTTTGAGACATTTGAATTTTCTCTCCATAGTCGTGAAAATTAATTTATTTGACGCAATCAAAAATAAAAATTGTATGCACTTATAAAGAAGTAATTAACGATCGCCATTTTTTTTTTGGGTAATATCACATGAATATAAATAATCAGTATATGGCTGGTCAAAAACATAATTTGCATACACATATGTATTTTATATGAATACGATCGAATGCAAGCTGCACGCAATGCATCTATACATAATTACTTTGCCTTCGTTCGTTTTACCACCATAAAAAAAGATCTCAATCTATCATTTATTCAGCACAGTATGTAAATTAAAACAAATACAACTCATCATCATCAACCATTATAGCTTTGATCTAATTACATTTTTTCCTTGATTTAAAGTGATAGTTACTAACCATCTAAAATTGCATGGGAAATCAAACGCGTGACCCTTATTTATAAGAGAAATTTTATATCATTAGACAACAAAATTTTATTCAAAATACAAATATATAGTCATATGGGAGCACATCCCATGCTTACAAGAATCACGAGTATAACTCTAGTTTCGACCTCAATTGAGTATATCGTGAATGAAGCGTCCTAAATAAGAATAGGAAGAGCCACCCTCCATTAAAGCCCTCTTACTCATCTCGCTCATCTCCTTCACTTTCTTCCTCACTTCACTTTCTCTCTCCATAACTTGTTTTATGCCTTTCTCTATTCTCTCTGCACTTATCACTCCCGATTTGCTCACATCACCAAACTCCATCCTATAATCCAATGAGATTTCCACGCCCAGTTTCAACTCACGCGCCAGCTCGAATGCATTCAATTGTTGCTCCGAGTAAAGTGGCCACGTAGCAATGGGCACTCCATAATATATGCTCTCCAGTATTGAATTCCACCCACAATGCGACACAAAACCTCCCACCGCTTTATGGGCCAAGATTTGGGCTTGTGGGGCCCACCCAATCACTTTTCCACTCTTGGCCGTTCGCTCTAAGAATCCCTCCGGTAATACGTCTTTAGGGTTGGAGCAATCACTGGGCGCTTCCAGAGGCTTCGATGTGGGCTTCTGTAAGCGGAGAGACCACACAAAGTGGACCCCACTTCTTTCAAGAGAACGTGCGATTTCTATCACTTGATCATCGTCGTCGAAACAACCCATACTACCGAAGCACAGGAATAAAACCGACAGAGGAGGCTGACCATCGAGCCATTCCATAACGTCCGACCCTCTTTGAATCGTCTCGCTCTCAGTCTCCCCCACGCTTAAAATGGGCCCCACTGGGTACACGGTAAAATCCGCATTACGAAATGAACCAACCGCATGCGATTCAAGCTCCTCAAATGTATTTACTATAATACCCTTGGCTTTCTTTAACCTGCACGCATGAAGGTAGAAAAATGTCGCCCACTCCTTATCCAAGGCGGCGCCCGGAAAAACATTAGCCGGAACAAGGTTCTGGAAACTCGGGATGGCAAACTGCGCTCCGGAGTCCTTGAAATTTAACGCAGTCGTATCGACGTTTTCTCGTTCTCGAAGCGTGTGGATGTGAAGCATGTACCCAAGGAAAGCAGCACCCGCAGTGAAGAATCCCACGGTTGGAACTCCGAACTCGTCGGCGACGTCAATCATGGTGGAGCAGTACATGTCAACCACGAATCCGGCGAGGCGAGGGGAGTCGGGGCCTGAAATGAGGGCGGAGACAGCTTGTCTGACGTTGAGTTTCTGGTTTTCAACAACAGAATCGATGAAGGAAGCTGGATTAAGAGACTGATTAGAGTTAGGGTCGTGGTTCGGATCAGGCAGGAGAATGAATTGGAGCTGTTTTGGGAAGGAAAGGGAAGAGGTGAGGGAGAGCGCGTAGGCCTCGCCGGCGGGGTCATACGGTGCTTTGATTATGAGGATGGTGACCGAAAGATTTCCATGGCGGTTGACGAGAAGCTTAGCGAACTCGACGGTGGACGCTAGGTGACCCCTGCTTGGTAAAGGCACAAACACCAGCTGCGATTTCTTCATCCTGATATGTGTTTCAGGTGAATGATGAATCAAGGTGCCGAAAGCAATCTTGTAGGTAACGAAGTTATGAGAAAGGAAAAAAGGGATTGAGAGATTAGTTAACGAGATCTACGTCGCTTTTTTAGGCTATGTTTGGATTGCAGTTGGAGAAGCCAAAAGCATCTAGGAAAGTGTGAAACTGAGGTTAGTGATTTATTGTGGCTCAGAAGATTGTTTGGATGATGTTTCTTTTCTAACTGACTTATGGGAAAAAGTAACTTTTCTAACTGACTTATCCAACGCAATTTGAATCAACTTTTCTAACTGACTTATGGGAAAATTGTGCAAAACTTACGATCTAACTAGTTATGTGATTTCATTTACTTTGATTAGAGACCAAATAAATTTTAATTTATATTCATGTTTGTCCATTATATATGTTTAATTAATTATCTATAATGTGTTTTCAAATTTTTCTCCGCAACAAATATTTTTATTTTATAATCTCACAAATAAACTATTTATACTTTATCATAATAATTTTATGTATTTTTTTAAACTATTATCACATCAAAAATATAAATTTCAAACACTACTATTCAATAAAGTCCATATCCTTTTCTGTCATTTTACAACTAAACTAACTTTTTTATTAATCATCCAAACAACTTTTAACTTTTTCAACTGACTTTTTATAAGCACCTATCCAAACATAAATCGCATTACACTAACTGACTTTTACTCTAACTTCAGTTACAAAAGTCAGTTGAATTAGAAGTCAGTTTTACCTAACACCAATCCAAACATACCCTTAATCTGTCCCGAGAAGCGTCCGCATTCCGTGCTCATCATGACTGATGAGTACGGCTTGCTCAGCACTCAAAAGTGAGTAGTATGGGATCTTAGGCTACTTTTTTTCCCCCTCACCTTTTTTGGTTTACGGTTTATTTAAAAATATTGTGTTTTATTAGATATTTTTTTCAGGTGTGCCCATAACTTAAAATATTTCCTGATGCAATTATTTAAGACCATAAATTATTTTTTAGGCAAGTTCAGCATCCTAGAAATAATTTTTTATTTATCTATCACCCTAAAATATTTTGTCAAACACATATAGTATCTTAAAATATTTTATGATTCATCTAGTCTTTTTAAAACATTTTTCAAATACATCTAGTATTTTTTTTTGAATGCACATGAAAAAAAATTTTAGAGTATTGGATGAAATTTAATCCAAAAATAATTTTAATATATACTATATCTGGTCTTTAATATAAGAGTTAGTTAGTTAATTTAAAGAGATTAAGAAAACTAATTAAATTAGTTATTTGTAACAAATAAATGTTATCTTTTCTAAAATATCTTTACTAATCAAAAGTATTTGTTAAAACTATCATTATTACAATGACTATTTTAAGAAAAAATAGATAAATATGAGAGATAAACTAAATTAGTATTTTATATTTAAAACCAAAATAAAAATCAAATAAACTCTTATATTAAATATCTTATAACATTTTTTTTTGTGATGAACAAGAAGAGAAAAAAAACAACAACAACAAAAAACTGAGGTCCCACACTGCCAGTGTTTTGAGTGCTAAGCACGCGGAATGTGATTCTGTACGGATATAGAGAGAGAAGATATTAGGAATAAAAAAATGTGCTATTTGATTTTTTTTCATTTAATATTCTTTTTGCCAAGAAAAGGGGAAATTCCTTCCTAATATTCTTTAAAAATAAAAAGAAATATTCTTTAAACGAAAACCCTAAAAAATATATAACATAATTTGGGTTCTTTAATTTATAAAAAAGTTAATATAATTTTTTGTCTTTTAAATTTGTCTTCATTTTGGTTTCGTCTCTTAAGTTTTAAATCACAGATTTTAGTCTCTCAAATAACAAAATAGTTTAAGTTTTTATTAGATTATAGAGATAAATGTTTTAAATAAAAAAACTTAAAGAACCAAATCTTATAATTTGGAATTTAAGAGACCAAAATTAAAATGAGGACAAACTTAAAATTTGTATTAACCTTTTATAAAATTAGACCAAATTTTAACTATTAATTATGAAATATTAGGAAAAAAATACAAAAATGTCCTCTAACTACAAAAAAAAACTCAATTACTGACGAAAGTCAAAATTACTAATGGAATTACTGACGGATTTGCGATGAACATGAATTACTAACGAAATTTCTGACGAAATCCATTCCATCAAAAATTTGAACGTCACTAAATTTATTTGTGATAATTTCTGACACACTTGTGACAGAAATTCTGTCAAAATACCAATAGATTTTTGACAAGTAGTCTCCATCACAAATTTTGCGACGAAATATTTTGTCAAAAATTTGTCATGGAATTTGCCACAGAATATTCCGTCGCTAATCAGCACAAATTTGGCAATTTCAGTTGATTTTTTTAATTATATTTTGCTATTTTAATTTGATTAATCGTCTAGTTTTTTAAGAGGAAACGAAGGACAATTGAATTTGTCAAAAAAAATCAAACATGCTATAATTAAATATATATGTCTTTCACACATCTTGGATGTTTCAAATGTCAAATGTCAAGTAAAAGCTAAAAATAATAATAACAATTGTCAACTATCATTTCCTAAATTTATATTGCTGCTAGAAGGCTCAGATAATCTAATTCCCATTCATTCCAATGCAAACATGATTTTATTATAATTTTGTCTCATCTCTTGATGCTCTTGTCTAATCTGTTGAATCTCCTGTGTAAACTTTGTTATCCTCGTGCACAATTCAGTTTCAATATTAGTATTGATACTTGTGCTGTTGATGGAAGGAGAAGATCTCTGCATACAAATATCATCATCAGTCTCAGATCCAAATCCATAGATGCGGCCCTTCTTGTTTTTACCACCTATAACATCTAACCATATGTTAAATTCTTCCTGATTAGATTGTACACTTGGAGAGCCTCCTTCAGAACTTAGTTCTACCTTTCTCCTTATGAACTCATCCTATAAAACAAAAGGTAACAGGAGTATATGAGATAAGTACATGTTTTGGAAGGCAAGATCCTTTCAACTTAATCCCAACAACAACTAGATCAAGTTAAGTCTAAAAGAAATGAGTGTTATTTTTTAAAAAAAACTAATTACCAAAAATAAAATTGCACAAAGAATAAAAAAAAATACCATAATTCATTAATTTCTAGCATATGATGACATATTCACCAATTCTATCAAATTGAATAATATGCAAATGTAACCCAAGTTCAGCAACGAAGCAAAGTAGATTGGAGAATAGCATGTGTATAAGTTATATAACTTCTAATAAGTCAGATGCAATAAATTTTTGTCTAACACTAGTGTGCCCTTAGAGAGTTAGCATAATCCAATTGATTTTTTATGATAAACATTCAATAAGACTCATAGTACAACTAGTCAGACCTCTAGCCATCAGCACAATTTCAATGATCCAACATGTCAAATATTAGAAACATATACTCATATGAGCTGATTCCGCTCACTGGTCTGCAAATTTTCTAGTTTTATCATTTAAATGTGTCCTCTTGAACAATGCAAACATAGAAGGATCTCTTCCTAACTCCAAAGCCTGCCATTATTTACCAAAATGTATTATACATGCATTAAATAAATAATGATTTAATTTGAGGATAAATTCTTACCAATCTCTTCTTATGCTCAGTATTAGAAATATTTCCACCTTTGCGTTGAGTGCCTCCTGTGGTTGAGGCTCGATTAGCCTTAGCAATCTCACACTTAGCCTTATAATCTTCTGATACCCATATTCTCTCTAACTCGTTCATCACTTGACGCGAAATCCACTTAGCCCTAACTTGTTTTTTATACAAGTCTTGCCTACTAGTATGCATTGTATTTCTCAAAATTTCCGTACACGTTACATTCCAAAATTTCTTAATAGCATGATCATATTGTGGCAACCATTTATATTTTCACTACATAAAGAAACAAAAGAAAAATATAAATTAAACATATGGAGAGGAAAAATTTGAAGACATAAAACAAATACAAATAGAAATAAGATTTACCGCCCATTCATCAAACAACATTTTCTTATATTTAGGCGCTGGAACATGAATGGTCAAATTTTTCTTGAATAACATGAAGAATATTTCACACAGTAGCAACAGCAGAATTAAACTTAATAACAATTTTATACAAAATATCATTATAAATGTTGTTAGCTAGCATTAATATAATAAATTAAGATGTGAAATAATATAAACTTAATGGTGACTTCTGTTTTCTTTTCAGGATATATCTATGTTCGACCATCTGAAGAATCATAACTTGATGGTGAAAAATTAGGAGGGGCCTGAGAAGTAGGGGGATAAGAGTTTTCAGTTCTAAGAGATGGGATTTGAGGAGATGATGCTTGAGGTGATAATGAGGGTCTATTATCTGACTGAGTCATAATTGGAGATAATCCATGGGATGATAAGGGTCTGCTATATTCTTTATTTATAGCTGGAGACCTAGTAGATGTTTCACCTATAGGTAGAGAAGATGTTTGAACAGGAAATTTGTTGAGTTGGTCAAATAGTTATAGAGAAGATGAAGAGCTCAAGTGTACAGCACACATATAAAAGTTTTGTTTCAATGAGGCATCATATGTTGGCACCCTTTTGTCCCACAATAATTTTAATTTATCTATTAAAAGTTGCAGATATACATATATTTTTTCATTTGGGATTACTAGGACCAGGGATGATCACTGTCAAGAACATATATTCTCGTGTTATGCACATCTCAGGTGGTAGATTATATGGAGTAATAATCACATGCCAACAAGAATATTGTCTCTCAAATTACCCAAATGGCATAAATTCATTAGCACATAACCCAAGCCTCACATTTCTTGGATCATATGCAAAGTTTGGATATGTGCTATCCAAAACCTTCCACGCCTGACTTTCAAAGGGGTGAGAAAGGACATTAGAACCTCGACGGTTCTCATAGTGCCATCTTATTTCCTTTGCAATTTTTCCAGAAGCAAACAACCTTTGTAATCTAGGAATGAGAGGTGAGAACCACAATTTCTTTCTTGCAACGTTCTTTTTTCTTCCATGATATTTTTTTGGAGAAATATCTCGTCTCGTAACAAACTTTACATTGGGTTGCACTATCATCAGCTTTATAATACAACATACACCCATTCACACAACAATCAATCTTCTTGTAATCAAGACCTAGTTTTGACACTAACTTCTTTGTTTGGTACAAGTCTATAGGCATACGAGTGTCTTTTGGCTGTGTCTTTCACATTGGTTGGGAGACTAAATTGTAGCTTTGTTGTGACACGTTAGTTGTTGCTTTAATACTCAATAATTACAAAGTTGCTGAAAGTTGAGATTCCTTTTCATGACCTTCCCACAAAGGTTGTTGTGCAGCACGCATCAAGTCATAAAGTGCTCTTACACCAAGATTTGGCATCTACTCAACTCCTTTATCATAGTTATCCCAAAAGCTTAGCCCAGTTGCATCTATTACCATAGTCTTGTATTGACTTTGTTGGTTACCAAATGAACCATGCTCAACATGTAGCGCATCTTCTGGCATTGGACAAATAGGTGAAGGATATTCCGGTCGTCTTTCGCCATAACTAGTCCATATATAGTAGTTTGGCATAAATCCTTTTTCATAAAAGTGTGTCTTCACCTCATCAAAACTTAGATATGACCTATATTTACATTTCACACATGAACATTTAAGCTCTTTCGATGTTTAAGAATAAGGAGATTGAAATGCGTAGGCAAGAAACTCCTCAATGCCTTGCTCGAAATCTATTGTAACCCATTTAGTACTTAAATCAATTCTATTATATATCCATCTTCAATTTTTTAGAACCACCATTCTAATAGAGAAGAATATGATGTAAATAGTAAGAATCAAAGCAAGTAGGGAATATATATATATATATATATATGGCAAAAGAAAACTACTATATGAAAAACCTAAGATTAAACACCAATTAAAACAATGAGTAATTATATATATCCCAGATTTTTCGCAGTAATGTTTTCCTTTTAAATTTTGCAATATATTACTACTTTAAATTCTTTATAGTTATTTAAATCAATTAAAATGATGTGATTTGAAGCAACTTTATCATATATGTCATGCAATTTAAGGCGTGGGGTTTTTTTTAATGGGTTTATTACATCAATTTCTTTAAGACAATGAAATTGTACGTTGCCATGGCCTAGTGCCTAAATATTACATAATTTTCATTTGAATTATTTGATATTATGGAATTTTCAAATTTATTGGTATGTATAAGTGATTTTCTCAAACTTTAAGCAAAATAGTCATGTTAGTAGTATGCATACATTAAAGGAAGTTGATTGACTTTTGGACTTGGTGGATTTTAGTATTGATTATTTCTTTGTTAATCTTTTGTGTGTGGGTGTTTAGATGCTTGGAACTATTGGCTTTTTGCAGCTTCTCTCTTTGTTCATCACGTGTATCCCATCAAGTGTGAGTAGGCAATTTTTTTTTTTTAGGGTTGTGAGATACAAGAACAGCTGAAGTTGAATTCTCTGTATTTATCATTCATATACACTTAGAGAGTAAAAGTGACAAAAGAATAAGACTATTCTTTCAACCAGCAAATAAGATTGTATTTGGGCTTGTATTTCATCTTTAAGTTAGTTTCTAATAATAAACATTAAATGCTTTTTGACACAAGCATGCGCGCATGTATTGGCCATTTCCAGAAAAATCAACCTAAACAAAAGTATTAGAGAGGAGGAAAAGAGAATAAGAACCAGCTAGTATCACTTGCAGGACACTAATAATTAGAGAAAAAAAGAATAAGAATAATTGGGACTTCAAGCTTTTTGTTTGTGAGGTGAATCAATTGATCCTTTATTTTTATGAAAGACGATATGTTATTGACGGCGATAAGTTTACGCACAATACATCCCAAAATGTAAGCATCAAATAACTAAATCACACAAGAATCTATTTTGCACACTCTGAAGTTCATGGCAAAAGAAGACAAGTTAAATACCACATAATAAGAACACACAAAGCAATAGACCAAACATATAACAGTAGCAATATAACACTAATATATTTCAAGCTTAAAACTTTCATGACCTATCCAAAAATTTGTTTGACTCTTAAAGACCCAATATAGCAAAATAGAGCAAGATTCCAAATTATTATAGATTCAATGAAGAAGCAGGAATAGAGGATTGCAATTCATATACATAACTTACCTTACAGGACAAAGGTTGTGACAAGAAGAGAAATGCTAGTCTTGGAGCAAGAAAAGGTCTCACAGCTGTAGACTAAAACTTCCACAACCAACCAGAAAATGTATCCTCAACTCTCATCCATCCAATATAGCAAAAGGAAGTAAGGTTTGAAATTATTACCGATTGAATGAAAAAGAAAGATTAGGGGACCAAAAACCATATATAAAACTTACCTGGAAGGGACGACAGTTGCAAAGACAAGGAAAATGATGGTCATCGAAGACTGAAGCACGAACAGCAACAGATTGAAACAGAGAAGAGGAGTGGAATAAGTCAGCGACACCAAGCTATTGTTTGAGAAGGAGAGAAGTCGAGTGATTGCGTGGGGTTTAGAGCTGGACGAATGGTGAAAGACGACGATGAAGTACTGGAGGACGTCGAGCTTAATGGTGATAATGGAGGATGCCGTCACCATCAAAGCCTGATGGAGGAAGAAGTCACAGCTTTTGGTTCTCAGGTGAACGGCACTATCTAGTTTGGTGAAGAGGAGATGGACAGCATCGATAGTGTTGGTGGATGAAGGGAATTTTGATGTTGGTGTCAACGATGGAGGAGAAGGGAGAGGCTGATGACGACAATGAAGAATATGGATGAGCTCGACGATCAGTGGAGAAGGAGCTGGACGATGGTGTGCTACTGGCTAGGATTCCAGAGGAAGAAGCCGCCGTCCCCCCGTGTTGAAGAAGAAGTGATTTAGATAGTGCCCTAGCTCATTCCAAACGCAGCAGTTTTGGTTTTCACTGACTTTCTTCTTTTTTTTTTTTTAAAACATTTTTTTCCAACTTTTTAATTCCTTTCCAATATAATATAATAACCCAAAATCAATACTTTTGTCCTAGTCACCTGCAAAATAATGAGATAATAGGATAAAGTCCTAGAAATCATTATTTAAGAGCAAAGATAACACTATAACAAAAATACCCTTTTAAGCTCCATTTTAATAAACTCAATTTTTATTTCAAATTAACCATAATAAATGTAATTTAGCTCATTTTAGTTGATAAGAATCCCTTAAAAGATATAAAATAACAAAGTAAAATATGGTTTTATCAGTGTTACAAAGGAGGGTGAATCATTAGAAGAAAGAGAAGAGAAAAGTTAAATTTTTTTTTTTGCAAAAATAAAGTCTCAAATTAAATGGGTTAATGGAGGGAAGGTGAAAATCTTTAGAGAAAGAATAAATTTAGCCTTCTAATAAATGAAATATGGTTTCTTCAAAAAAAAATTGTCAAAATTAGATTTTATAAATTATAAGTCTAAATTTAAGTCTTACTATTTTTCACACACAAGAACAATAATATTATATTTAGAATAATATTATAATATTTAGCTATTTGTTTTCAATCTATATCTAGCCAACTTGATATTAATGTTGATATATTTTGTTGGTATAATTTGATTTATATTAATTTGTATTAAAAGTGTGCTTTGACTATTAGATATGGTGGACTAACTTTAAACAAAAAAAAAGGAAAAAAGAAGAAGAAGAAGCTATTTTCATATTTACCATTTTTATTTACATA